GTATATATATATATATATATATATATATATTCTAGAGCAGTCAATATCTCCATACTAAATTTAATTAAACACAGCAAAATTTATCACGGCATACCCAAAAGGCCAATACACAGTTTGAATCTCAACCGTTGGATTAGACTGTTTAGGAGCACATCAGCATCAATCGGGACCACCAATAGAGAGTGGACAATTGCTTTATTAGTGCTTTATTGTTTTCCATCTCCTTGTTCCAAACAACAAAATATAATTAATGTGTCAAAACAAAGTTGGGAGCAAAAGAAGAAGGAGACAAATAGTTTTGTGGCTAACAACATTGGAGTGAGTGAGAATATAATGGGCATTATATTTGTTTGAATTGATTCATTTTGATATAAAATATTGTAACTTAATTGTGGTATTCTATTCATGAAATCGGGTAACTTTAACTAAGTGCCTATGTTGTTCTTGGTAGACTTATTCATATCTATCCACATCCCTCTCGAGATATTAATTCAAAACATGTTGAGTCTAAGTGGCAAATTCTCACGCTTCGGATGTTGACATGACAAAAATCTATGCTTCGTTATGTTGCTTTTATATTATTTTTGCTCTGAAGTTAGGTTTGGTATTAGACATAAATAACTTTTCATCATATATTTCTTAACTCAACACCCGTATTGTAAACATACGGATATTGTACTAGTATAATTTAAATGGAAATTGATCCTCTTATGGGCATATAGATGTACTTTAAATAAATATACAAGTTTTTGAAGAGTTATTCGTAGGCATATTTTGTGTCACAACAGCGCATTTCTGGCGGCGATTGCTTCCTGACTGGCGACCCGACTTCTTTACACTTCCGCTGAAAGAATGGTTGCTACAGAATCTGCAAAATGGGCTGCAAATCGACGCGGCCAATGGGAAACTTTATTTGGTGTCACGCTGTGGCAACTCTGGAGGGGCCGTAATGAGAAGATCTTCTCGGATGAGGAGTTTAAATGTTGAGAGGAAGATTCGGGATGTCCGTTCGTTTACTCATGGTATCAAAGCAACAACAACTGCCGAGAGACGTCTGGGTGGTCTTGGAGTGGGCCGTGAAGTTCGTTTTATTCGATGGGAACCACCGGACAGTGATGTGGTCAAAATTAACACGGACGGCTCCTTTTTGGCTTCATCCGGAATGGCATCTGCAGGGGGCTTGGTTTGAGATGCTGGCGGTCGTTGGCTTGGGGGCTCTGTGATGAATATTGGCTACTGTTCCATCACCGGGGCGGAGCTGTGGGGACTCTTCTATGGGTTACTGCTCACATGGGAGTTGGGATACCGTAGGGCTATCGTGGAAGTGGATAATAAAAGCGTGGTGTCCATGGCAACAGGAGGCCTTACAGACAACCTTGGGGTACACGGCAGTTTGGTTCGTGCTATACGCGATCTGCTTCACCGGGACTGGGAGGTGAGTGTCACTCATTGCTTTAGAGAGGCTAATTTTTCTGCTGACTGTTTGGCGACGCTAGCTCATAGCTCCTGGTGGATTCCAACGGCTTTTCGACCCACCCTCAGTAGTTCTACCGTGGTTACAGCACGACCTCATTGGCGTGTCTTACCAACGGAACGTACCTACTTGATGGTTCTAGGCTTTTGCCTCCTTGTTAAGTACCAAAAAAAAAAAAACTTCTGATTTTTTAGTGGTTTTGTCCATACCAAAAGTGAATACGATCCGTGAAAATTGGGTTGAACAACATTGGGAATGTTCTAAAGTTGATTTAATTAATGTTATATGGAGTTATTTCTAGGTTTTTTATGGCATTACATTTGCAACACGCATTTTTTGTTTTCTCTTCCTTTGCATTGAACTAGTAAATATCCTGTGCATATGCACAGATTTACATAACATATTATAAGTATTATTTGAGAATTTAATATTAAAATTCTAGATAATGAACATATTACATTTTAAAAAATTTGATCATTAGGAAAAATAAATTAACGATTTTATTATTATGAATAATTGTTTATTATCATAAGATAATAACAGTTTGATTATTATAATTATAATTATTATTATTATTATTATTATTATTATTATTATTATTATTATTATTATTATTATTAAAAACAATTATTTATAAAATTCTAAAGTTGTTTGACTGTGCTATTGAAACAATTTACTAATTGTTTTTAAAGAAATTTTTTCATGAGATACAAAATAAAAAGATAATATTAATGTTAAAATAAATAACTTGAAACAAATGCTTTTAATTATGTAATTTATATTTATTGTGAATTATTACTAGTAGATATCCTGTGCACATGCACAGATGTACATAAAATATTAATAAGTAATATTTAAGAATTTAATATTAAAATTCTAGATAATGAACATATTACATTTCAAAAATTTGATCATTAGGAAAAATAAATTAACGATTTTATTATTATGAACAATTGTTTATTATTATCAGTTATTATTATTATTATTATTATTATTATTATTATTATTATTATTATTATTAAAAACAATTTTTTATAAGCTTCTAAAGTTGTTTGACTATGCTATTAAAACAATTTACCAATTATTTCTAAAGAATTTTTTTCATGAGATACAAAAGAAAAAGATAATATTGATGTTAATATAAATAACTTGAAACAATTGTTTATAATTATGTGATTTATATTTATTGTGAATTATTATTATTAGTAATAACTATTATATAATATGATATAAACATACATGATTACACTCATTAAGATGTATTAATATGAAAAGTAAATAATTAATGACAAATTTTGTAACCGAAAATGGAGGGAAAAAATTAGAGGCTTTATTAAATGTTTTATTAAATGTTACATGCCAGCAATTATATATATATAGATAGATTAGTTGGTATTAACAATAACTATTATATAATATAATAGAAAAATACATGATTACACTCAATAAGTGTATTAATGTGAGAAGTAATAGATATTAATGATAAATTTTGTAACCAAAAATGGAGGGAAAATTTAGAGGTTTTATTAAATAGGTAAAATTAAATGCTATATGCCAGCAATTATATATATATAAATATATATATATATATAGGGTTGGGTTCACATGAGAATGATTCTCAATGAAAGAAATGAGAATAAATCATAGCCATTAGATCGAATGATCTAATGGCTAAAATAAATGCCT